TAGCCCATCATAAACTATCACTCAGCAAACATTTATTTGCTGATGATGGGATTCATATCAATACTGATGGTGTCAAACTATTAGTAGCAGATATGAAAAGGTCGATGAGGGGAAAGGATACCAAAAACAGATCACACTATCAACACAGAGACAGACATCCAGCAAGTCAGCCAGTCAGTCAGCTAATCTACAGATGTAACAACAGACACCATTATGTAAGAAACGAAAATACCACAAGAAAATATCAACCTGCAAACAGACAGCGAGAGGAACCAGCAGCCGCCAGTGTATAACATTATACTCAATGAACCTAGACGGAGCAATGATGGACAGTTAGCACATAAATTAATTGACTTTTTAAAGAGTTTTATATAATTGTGTAGAATGAGCTAAAAAAATTGCCAATTACACGTAGACCTAAGCCAAATCTAAACACATAATGTGCACAACAAGCAATATTGCTAAAACGACAGCGAATGCATTGTCATTTATGACATGGAACATTCAAGGTATTAAACAAAAATTCCATCATAGTGATTTTCAGAACACTATTAATCCCTATGATTTTGTAGCATTAGAAGAAACTTGGTTAGATTCAGTAGATGACTTTTCTTAAATGCCTTTAGATAATGCGATAATTGTTTTTCAGACAATGCATCTGTACATGCCTTCAGATAATACGATACATGCCTTTCAGACAATGCATCTGTACATAGCATCAGCTAATACGATACATGCCTGCCCTCAGATAAAACAATACGCTCATACCAGAAATGCATCTGTATATGGCTTCAAATAATGCGATATGTGCATTCCAGACAATATATGTGTACATGCCATAAGATATGATGATTGTCCTTCAGACAATGCGTCTGTACATACCATCAGATAATGCGATATTTGTCTCTCAGACAATGCATATGTACATACCATCAGTTAAAACGATATGTGTATTCTAAACAATGCATCTGTACATGCCATCAGATAATACAATACATGCATTCCAGACATTACCACTGTACGTGCCATCAGAAAATAAGTTACATGCCTTTCTGACAATGCATCTATCTGTACATGCCATCAGATAATACGATACGTGCATTCCAGAAAATGTATGTGTACATGCCATCAGACATTACAATACGTGCATTCCAGACATTGCATGTTTACATGTCATCAGATATGATAATTGTCTTTCAGACAATGCATCTGTACATACCCTCGGATAATACGATACATGCATTGCAGACAATGCATATGTACATGCCCTCAGATAAAACGATACGTGCATTCCGGAAAATGCATCTGTACATGCCTTCAGATAATACGATGCATGCCTTTCAGACAATGCATCTGTACGTGCCATCATATAATACGATACGTGAATTCCAGACAATGCATGTGTACATGCCATTAGTTATTACGATATGTGCATTCCAGGCAATGCATCTGCACATGCCATCAAATAATACGATACGTGTCTGATAATACGATGCATTCCAGACAATATACGTGCATTTGCCATCAGAAAATATGGTACGTGTCTTTCAGACAAATGCATCTGCACGTACCATCAGATAATACTATACATACCTTTCAGACAATGCATCTGTACATGCCGTCAGATAATATGATAATTGTCTTTCGGACAATGCATATATCCATGCCCTCAGATAAAACGATACCTGCATTCCAGACAATGCATGTTTACATGCCATCAGATATGATAATTGTCTTTCAGACAATGCATCTGTACATACCCTCGGATAATACAATACATGCATTTCAGACAATGCATATGTACATGTCCTCAGATAAAACGATACGTGCATTCCGGAAAATGCGTCTGTACATGCCTTCAGATAATGCAATAATTGTCTTTCAGACAATGCATCTGTACATGCCTTCAGATAATACGATAAATGCCTTTCAGACATTGCTTCTATACATGCCTTCAGATAATATGATACATGCATTTCAGACACTTTACACCAAACACTATGAGATCTATTGGTTTTGCAATTTGTTGCTGTTTAAGTGCTGTTCTGCTTTTTGGTGTATATTTTGGGGTTAAAGGACTTTATTGAAGGATATGTGAACTGTGATTAAGGACCACATGACGGATTTAATGTGATTCATGTGAATAAGTTGAACACAGTGAAGAGTGAATAACACAATGTATTGGCGATATAGAACTGAGTAACCGTTGTACTACTAAAAGTCATGGCAAGTGGAAAAGACACGCAATATGTGAGTAGATCTGGTAGGCCCATTAGCATGACATATAAGGGCTTCCAGTGAAACGTGGTTAAGAATTGTTGATGGCTGTCATATCCTTCCTTCTCTCAGTTTTGTATTTTCATCAGCAAAGAAGCACGTATAGCTTGCAGCCCATTGAATGTGAATTATGATGACAGCATGACAGAAACAAAGACGAGACGTTGTAAGAAATGGACAGCAACTACGAGTTTGGCAACAGCAACAGGAGAAACAAAGAATACTCAAGGAGACTCAGCCACTCGAACTGGCTCCACTGGTAACCTGAAACGATGTGCATTGTGTAAGGAAACACATGATTTGGTGTACTGTAATCAATTCCAAAGAATGACATTGAAGGATAGATACGCCACAGGGAAGAAACATGGTTTATGTTTAGCCTGTTTAAAATGGGACACAGACGATGTGATTGCCGAAATAAGAAGATCTGTGATATCTTCAAGCGATTACACCTAACTTTTCTACATGACTACTCATATAATGTCACCAGAGATTCGATAAATAATAAAGATGTCTCTGTTGATATGAGTCCTGGGTTGGAATTTGCCACTTTACACAGAGTTGAGATAGATCACCAGAGAGATTATTCATTACCCTGTTCCCATTCCTGCACCATAAGAGCATACTCAACCAACAAGCCATTGTTTATGCTCTGTTGGATCATCAGTATGACTCTTGTTTTATTACAAAATCTATGATGGAGAAGATAGGCGTAAATTGCCCAAACCTTAAAATATAGTTACAAACTATGCTGGCCGTAAAGGTAATTCAGTGTAACAAGATAGATGCACTAGTTGTTATGAATATGGACCGCTCCATAAATATTAACTTACCAGCAGTCTACTCTGGAGAATGTATACCTACCAGTCACAGCCTAATTGCAAAGCCTGATACAGTTAGCAGATGGCCACATCTTAAGCAAGTTTCCAAGTATTTACCTCCTTTTAGAAAAGTTATTGAGATTGGTCTTCTGATTGGTGTGAATTTTCCTCGTGCTTTGAAACCCAGGGAAGTCATACCAGGCGATGATGACGATCCCAATGCAGTTAGAATCTTGGTAGTATGATTATACTATTATTATGAGTAGTCCGGATTATAATCTGAGTAGCTACTGTCGAGTGGTAAATACTGAAGGTAAAAGATGTCACTTTACCTACCGAACCCAAGTCAAGGAGATTAGCCCATTACAGGTCAATAAAATGTTTGAGCAAGATTTCAGTGAAAGGAAGTCTAAGGAAAAGATATCTCTGGAGGATAGACAATTTCTACAAATTGTTACAAATGGAATTCACCAAAGAGAGGAAGACCATTTAAAATGCCCCTCCTATTCAGAAAACCTGCAATCGGTCTTCCTAATAACAGAGCTCAAGCAGAGAAACGTTTGCAAAAGTTGAAGTACAGGTTACTAAAGGATGACCAGTTGAAGACAGACTATGTTGACTTCATGAATAATAATATAGATAGTGGTTATGCTGAAGC